ACAAGGAGGAGAGTGTGACCAAGGCCATGCAGGTCAGGGCCCAGAAGAGATGGGGGAGAACACAGAAGCCCACTGTGGACGGAACCACAGGAGGCAGAAGCAGAGAGGGTAGGGGTCAACCACACGGAAAAGGACTGAAGTCTTAGTTGGGACCTGAGCCAACTAAGGATGACTCCACTCTTCAAAGAACATCAAATCCATCTCCTCCAGGGTCAACATCAGGGTTGGAGTCACCGAGACAGAATAACTTCCTGACTAGTCTGGTCTGACCCACCCTGGGCTGCTCTTGGAACAAGATCCCAGAGGAGTCCATCCTGAACATAAAGCAAGTTCTAAATGAAATGGGCCCTGGAGGCTCCCAACGGGGAGTGTGAGTAGGATGGTGAGTGTGAACAGAGAAGCACAGCCCTGTCCTGAGCTCCCATAGAGGTTTTCCTGGACCATCCCCACCAGTGGGAAAAAGGGACTGCTGACCAGAATTGGCATCATATTTGAAATAAACAGAAATACCTGCTTCAGTTTTAGACTCTTGGGGGGAATGTGGGGAGATAGGCTCCTTCAGATGACCTTTGTGCCTCCCTGCTCTCTGGAACCCCAAGGCTAGACCACATTTAAGTAAAGAGGTCTGACTTCCCAAAGCCCGTACCTCCACCAATTGTCTGGACCCCAAGCAGAGAAATGGGACAGTGCAGCCCTCACACCCCAGACTTTCCAAAGCACCCAAGAAATGTGCATGGATCACACATGTGGGCATCTAACAAAAACTACCACTGTCTCCTGATCTGGGAGAAAGATCCTTGCTGCTATGTCCCTAAGTGGAACCACCTGAGGCCTTCTGTCAACTTGGCCAGGGCCAGAGCTGAGCCTTGTGCACAGAAGGTCACTGGTCATTCCCTCAGCTGGGGAGGAGGTCCAAAACCTTAGTTTATGGGTCTCTGATCCATGTAGTGGCAGGTCTTCTCACCAGGGCAAGGTGAGTGGGCATCACTGGCCTGGGTTGAGGAGAAACTTCAAGACTTTGGTAGAGACACCCACTCTCCCAAGGTTGGGATGCACAGTGGGTCCTCACCAAACTGGGGCCTGACAGTCAGGTGAGTCCAGAGAGAAAAGAAGACAAGGGGGAGAGGGAGAGCCATGTCCTCCGCTCCCACCAGGGATGTTTCCAAAGAGTTGTCACAGAGGAGCCAACAGAGCAATGGGAGCATCGGTGCAGTCATCGTATAGATGAGGACCTCAGGACCCCGTGGGATGAAGTCACACGGCCCCAGAACAGGCAGAGCCCCATTACATCTGGACCCAGGCTCCTGAATCCTCTCCCATCACTGCTTTCCTTACTCCTACAGACAGCAGAACACACTGGGCCCTGAGCACCCCCTCTTACCCCCGGCAACGAGTCAGGTGCATACTTACCAGAGCTGACAAGGTATCACTGAGGAGAAGGATGAGTGTGCTATGAATTTGAGCAAAGACTGGTCCTTTTATAAGGCTCCGTCTGGCTCATCCCAGGATCTGGGAGCCCTGGAGTCATGTTTTCTGTCTCCTTCCTGGACCATTGCCCTACTCAGGTGAGTGTGACACACCTAGGAGTGTGTGTTCAGCATGTCCCAGTAAAATCCCAGGCAACTCCCAAAGGACAACACCTAGAACTTTCTTCTGTCCCTCACTTAACCTGGGGCTAGGGTGGGGAACACAGTGGGGTGTGTCATAATAGGACAGAAAATTTGGTAGAGAAAACTGGGTTTCTGAACATAAAAAGGATGGGACTCTGAAAGGCAGCATGGTCTGTGTTTACTCATCACCCAGTCCTTCCACAGTTTATTCTGACATCTAACAAAACTCTCTCCAGTGGTTAATAAGTCCTTATCTGTGCCAGGCATCACCTTACCTTCTGTATTGATATGCCTCTTAAACCTTCATAACCTTATGAGATGGTGCTGTTACCCTCATGTCGAGGATGTGGAATTGAGGGATTAAAAGTTACGCAAAGTTCCTATGTGCATGAGGCTAATAGACAGCAAGGTCAAGATATGATCCCAGAAAAGCCTGATTCAAAACCTCCCTCCTAACCCCACTACTAGACCTCTAGGGTCACTGCAGGGCCTGTGAACTCCAAGTCCAGAGAGGGAGGCAGGGTTGTCTTCGTGTGGGGTCCTCACTGGAGCGCTAGGAGGGAAAGAGGTGGCATGGCCCACAGTGACACACCAGGGAACACAGAGAGAACAGCACATCACCTGCAGGTGAGGGAAGACACGAGGTCAGAGCTCTGAGCTCTGGCGTTAGCCCCACACTCTTGAACTTCGCTTCGCAGCTCCAGGGCCCACCGGGGCCTACCAAGGAAGCCACTGTCTAGACTCAGGGATGGTGACCACCATGAAATGAGCCAGGAGGAAATTAGGCAAAGTTGCCTACCCACCCATGATGATGCCTTCCTATAAATTCTTCAGTGATGTTCCTCTTTCCCTTATGCAAAACAGTCTGCTTAGGAGTTAGTGGCCATGCCCTGGGGTCTGTTGTGTCCCAACCTGCTGTGGAAACTCTAGTTCAGGTGCAGGAGACAGGAGCCTGGAGTTCAGGATGAAGCCTGGGAACCTCTGGGAACGGCCCTGCTGACTCACTGAGGACTCCTTGTTCCTGCTCTCTGCTCCCCTTGGAACATCCTCCCATGAGTGAGGAGACTGCTCAGGCATCGGGCACCCTGGGACCAGGCCCACCGCTGAGCTCCCAGGTCAGGCCCTCCCAATGCACTGGGCCTCCAGGCAGCTCTTTTCTGTCCCCAGTTATGTCCACATCTGCACCAGCACCAGATCTCTCTGGTCACTGGCTTAATTGTGTAGTATTCCTTTGTGTGGATGTGACATAATTTTCTATAATTCTGCTTCAGATACCACATGCTCTTCATTTTCTTGTCTTCTTTTGGATGGTTTCCAGCTCAGGTGACCAGGGATTTTGACCTCTGACCTCATGTTCCCCTGGGGATCAGCCATCCTGTTTGGTGAGGTATGTGGAAAGGGCCCAGGGAAGGCCCTGGTTCTGTACGTCCTGGGTGTTCAATGAATGAGAGGAGGATGAGCCCAGGTCCCAGGGACTAACTTCAAAACAACTCTATTTGCTGTGAGAGACATTAGTGTTTCCAACTCTTGTGACTAACAGCCAAGTCACACCCTAGCATCTCCCTTATCAGTCACCACCACCAGAAAGGCTGTAGGTATCTTCCATTCCCTGAGCCAAAAGTCCTTTGGCAACATGGGCTACACATCCAGGTCCATCACTTGGAGCCATCTCGCAAGCATTCACTGTTTATCCTGAGCCTCTCTTTCATTCATCCCAATGGACTCTGGACCCCAGCTGTCCTTGGCTGTTTGGAGCTGAGACCTGGACCATTTGTTTACGGTACAAAATTTAAGCACTCACTGTGCTTTAGGATGAACATATGGCAAGAAAATTTTATTACGTATGTATCTCTTCTCAATGCTCACACTTTAGAAGTGAAGACAAAAAGAATAAAATAGAAACTGTGGATGCTGGAGATGTACAGCGACACACAGTATAACCCCAGGAGGGAAGGGTAACTTTCTGAGGAGGAGAAGTGGACAGAGATACCTTAGATGAGGCATTTGAATGAATGTCAACACCTAGTGTTCAAGCAAGCAAACCAGGGAAAGAGATTCCAGACCATGACATGTGAGTAAAACTACAGCACAGAACAGACATGACATCAGGAGGACAGAAACACGTCTAGAGCCAAGAGTGTGAAAGTGAGAGGTTTGGGACAGGCACCAACTATGACCCACCCAATACCCAATCCCCTCTTCTGAGCTAACAGAGCCCAGTTTGCTTGGGGTTTAGGGTGCCCAGTACTCCCATGTGTGTCTGGTCTCCTCTAAGCCATTCTGCGAGTCCTGTCCTTGCCTTCCCCTGTGCCCCTTGCAACCAAGAGTGAACATGTGTCCCACCATTTCTGCCCTTTGAAACTGAGTGATGCTGGGCCAGGCTTCTGGGACCCTGCTTTTCTGACAGGAGGGAACAGGGAGAGCTGGCCCTGCCATGTCCCAGCCCATGCCTGGGTTGCTGGCCCGGGACACAGGCAGTCGTCAGAGAAATGTTCCTTCCCGTAATGTCACTATCAAGCCCCACCTATCACGTGAGCCTCCTCTAATTCCTCGCCATCAATAATAGCATTCATCAGATGTGTCTTTATTTGCTTCATGGAAGTTTCTGTTTTTTGTTTTGTTTTGTTTTGTTTTTTGTCCCATCAGTCTGAAGGGACAAAATACCTTACTCAGCCTTGGTATGGGAGTGTCATTTCTCTCTTGAACCTCAGAGCTGAGCAGGAGGCCAACCACAAGAGGAGTTGCTGGGACAGTGGTTTTATGAGAGGGGATATGCCATAAGCAGAAAAGAACTTCAAGTCTCACTGCTTCAGGGCAAGAATGGGCTCCTGCTGAGCGGGGTAGAAAGAGGGAGTCAGGAGAGTGACGGAAGGCTGGACGGAATGTAACACTAGACAGAGAATGAGAGTTCGGGACCAGAGACAGCATAAATCCCTGTATTTCTTTCCTATTCTTTAACAAATTGGCACAAACTTGATGGCTTAAAACAATGCAAATATATAACAGTTCAGGACGTCATAAGTCCCACTGAGCTAAAATCACGGTGTCAGCAGGGCCATGTTCCTTTCAGATGCCCTAGAGCAGCGGTTCTCAATCTGTGGGTCGCGACCCCTTTTGGGGTCAAACGACCCTTTCACAGGGGTCGCCTAAGACCATCGGAAAACACATATATAATTACATATTGATTTTGTGATTAATCACTATACTTTAATTATGTTCAATTTGTAACAATTAAATTGGGGGTCACCACTACATGAGGAACTGTATTCAATTTTAGGAAGTCATCACAATGTAAATACTCCTTAATTACCTGCTGACACTTGGGGGTGACTAATTAGCATCCAGCTGAGAGCAAGGCCCTGGGAAAGACAGGTGAGATTTGAAGAGGAGTTGGATGGAAGGAGGGATGGCAGAGGTCCTAGGTGATACTCTGCCTCCTCCTCAGCTCCCCTGTAGGGAGGACTCCAGAGAAACCACTACCAGCCTTAGGCATGTCTTAAAGCCCCTCCTCACCCTGGGAACCAGGAACCTCACCCTCCACACCCCTGCTCTCAGCCCAGGATCTTGGCTACACCTGCCATACCATAGGCACTGCCCCGCTGGGGAAGGGTTCCTGCGAACGGTTAGCACTTGGATGTTGGCACCAACCAATGCAGGTGAGTCCGATGATCTTACTGCCTAGATATGCCGGGGCACAACCTGCCGCTGTGGAGCCCGGCCTCAGGCCCTTCCTCCCTCCACTTAGGCCTTGCTCAAGCCTTTCCCCATCCCAAATTCTGTCCCCTTCCCCCCACAGCTCTATCCCTGATGTCCCTCCACACCACCCCCATCTCAGAGCCCTGCCACCCAGAACTTCACCCCCGATCTGCTACCCAGAGTGTCTCCTGCCTTCTCAGCAGAGGCCGTGAGTGTCCTCCTCCTTCAGACTGTACCACCTTTGAGGGTGAGAGCTCTCCTTTCTCCCTGGGTGGTCCTTGGGAGGAGGTTGTGCACTTCCACCGCTGGCACTGATTCAGGGCAGGGCTCAGTCAGAGTGGGGGCTCCCTGGGGGCCTCTCCTGCCTCAGTCTATCTCTAGACCCTGCTTCAGACCTCTAGGCCCAGAATGCAGAGGAAGGGAGACATGTGCCCTCATCCCAGCTCCTCAGGGATCGAAGATTGGGGAGGATCCCAACAAGCCAGCAAAGAAAGGAGATGAGCAGGTCAGCTTTCAAGTGTTGCCAAGAGCTGGCATGGTGTGATCCCTCAATTGGCAATTACTGGTAAGCTACTCAGAGCCAGGTCTAATCCAACTAATACGGACTCTTCCCACAACCTCACCTCAGCAATGTAGCTGGATTCGCACGTAGCTACAGTCAAAAGAGGCACAAATCTGACTCCAGTGGCAGCTAAGCTTTTCTTAAAGGGCTCAATCTAGGGATTTAATAAAAATATCATAAAGAAATCTCCAGAAAGTTTTACCAGAAGCCATTTCCTCTCCCGGAAATTTCACGTTCTCGGCACAAAAATCTCTCCAGCTCTCTCATCCAGCTCCCTCACTGCCTCACTCTCCCCAGCCCCTCGTCCTCCACCACGTTCCTGGTCACTAATGGCATAATGACCTCAAAGTCCATGTTGTAGCATGTGTCAGAATTTCCTTCCTTTTTAAGGCTGAATGATATTTTATTGCATGTATGTACTCTGCTTTGTTTATCTCTCCATTGATAGACACTTGGGTTGCTTCTACCTTTTGACTATTGTGGAGAATGCTGCTATGAACATGGGTGTACAAATAACTTTTTGAAACCATGCTTTCAATTATTTTTGAAAATAGGAATTGCTGATAATATGGCAATTCTGTTTTTAATTTTTTTGAGGAAACTCCATACTGTTTCCATTTTACATTCCCACTAGCAGTGCACAAAGGTTCCAATTCTTCACGTCCTCCCCAACACTTATTATTTTCTATTATAGAATCATATGGTTTTTATATGTTTAATATTTTGAGGAACTGCCATATTGTTTTCCACAGCAGCTACACCATTTTACATTCTTACCAACAGAGCACAAAAGTCCCAGTTTCTCCCTATCCTTATCAACACTTGTTGTTGTTTTTTTAACATTAGCCATCCTAATAGTGTGAGGTGATATCTCCTTGTGGTTTTGATTTACACTTGCGTTTCCCTAAATACTAGTGATGTAGACCATCTTTTCATGTGCATATTGACCCTTTGTGTATCTTCTTTAAAGACTTGTCTATTCAAGTCCTTTGCCCATTTTTTAAATTGGCTTGTTTATCTTGTTGTTGTTAACTGATAGTTCTTTATATATCGTGCATATATTAACCCCTTATCAGATATATAATTTGTAAATATTGTCTCCTGTTTCATAGGTTGCCTTTTCACTCTCTTGATTGTGTCCTTTGATGCACAGTTTTATTGTTGTGTGTGTGTGTGTGTGTATCCTCACCCGAGGCTCTTGGTGTGGGCTGATGCTCTAACCACTTCGCAACACCAGCCATGGCAACATTTTATTTTAATGTAGTTCAATTTATCTATTTCTTTTGCTGCATGAGCTTTTGGTGTTGTATCCAAACAATCATTGCCAAATCCAATGTCAGGAAGATTTCCTCCCATGTTTTCTTACGAGTTTTATCGTTTCAGCACTTGCATTTAGGTCTTTGGTAATTGTTTGTATCTTAAGCTGGTGGGTAATCCGGGCATCCTTGTGTTATCTGTTATATGGAGTGGTGGGTGTGTGCATACGTCTTCCTTTGCTCCTCCTGCTTTTCTAAGACCATCTGAGATGAGGTCTGGTCAAGCTCTCCTTGTCAGTGTCTCTGGGGCTGCTACCTAGAAATCCACACGTGTATATCCTACAACAGATATTGCCTTCTTCTCTGTCTCTGAGGTAAAACCAAGGAGGAAGCAAATCTCATCTAAAGAATGGGGTATTTACCCCATCCACGTGCTCGTCACCCGAAACACCACGAGCACCGAGCTGAAAGCTCTGCACAAATCACTGGGAGTGAGAGAGGCCAGCTATCCGTCCGTGTTGGTAGAATGACACTCCCTTCCACCAACCTCTTCCCCTGAGTCTCCTGCACCAATCCTTGCCCTGGAGTCACCAGGAAAGAAAAAACCCAGAGTTGGGCCTCCTGATGCAAGAGCTCGAACATACTATAGAAATTATAATTAGAACATTCTGGAAGACACACCCTGGAAGGGAGCTCAGATGTGCCAATGTTTTCACTATCTTAAAATCACACGAGCCAAGTGCCAGGCTCATGATGCAAGGGTTTTGTGTGATGGAAAGACGTGGGAGACACTGTTCCTCTGCTAAAGAAGCAACCTAGTGGAGGAAGCCGATGTGTGTAACCTCACGGTGAACAGCACTAGCCTGAGGGCCGAACACCATGTGAATCCCAGTTCCTTTCCCTCCCCGCTATGTGACCTCGACAAGCCACTGCTCCTTTAAAATGGGGCTAACAGTATTCACTCCTCAGAGTTAAGGGTTAAACACGATAATACTTGTAAAGTGGTTAGTAAAGAGTTTGATGTGTGGTGAAGGTGATAGCAGCAATAGCAGCAGGACCATGCGATGGCATCAGGCTTACAGTCACTTCCACCTACATCTAAGCAGCAGAGGAAAAGGGCCAATTAAAACAGTGCTAGAGACTCTGCCTGGGTGGGGAGTGGGAGGTGGGAAACCCCCGCTCCTTGGACCATCTCAGCTTCCATGGGTGATCATCTCACTGAACAGAGAACATCATTAATGATAAAGAAACATCCCTGTCATACAACACGGCATCTCACCCCAAGCCAAGTGCCTCATCTGAGGAAACAGCCATCCTTCCCAACAACTGAAACACGTGTCTGTGTTAAACTTACTGAGAAACGGCGAGTCAATCTCAATGGAACATCCTGAAGGGCTTCCAAGGATACAAATAGTTAATGCTTAGATAGGGTTTACTTGGTGTCAGGTATTGTTCTAAGGGCATTCTGTATTTTAACTCCTTTAACCCTCACACTACATGGAAGAGGTAGGAACTGTTATTGTCTCCCCACTTTATAGATGTGGGAACTGAGGCACACTGGGGTTAAGTAATTTGCCCAAGATCACATAAGTAGTAAAGGCAGAGCCTGGATTTGAACTCAGACAGTCTAGTGCTAGAGTCAATGGTCTTAATTGCTAAACTTTAGTACCTATTTTAAATATGCTTATTTTTATGTCTCATGTACCTTCTTTGTGAGTCACGACTCGACAGTAGCAGAAGTGGCAGTGGTAGTGGCAGTTGGAGGAGGTGGCAAGAGGGTAAGTCATAATCAGAGTTCGAGGGCATGAATGGGGACATTCAACCACTAGAGTGAAGCTGCAAAACCCCGGGGGCTCTAAATCCAACTTGAAATTCTTTAAAGTTCTCCCTTGATCCTAAAAGCTGAGCTGTCCTTTTCCTTCTGGGTCCAGACGTGAGGAGGTGCCGAACTGCTGAAAGAGGGACCGAGGCTGTTCCCCCATTTCTCACCCACTCGACTTTCCTCCCCTCCCGCATCTCAACCAGGCAGGGAAGCAGGTCAGACACTGAGACGCCACCAGGTGGGCTCCCTTCCTGGAGATTAATTCTTACATCAGTCCTGGCAGCTCTTCACAGATTATAAACCCTCTTAGTCCCATTTAGTCTCAGGACAATAGGATGATTGGATTCTGGCTCTAAGCCAGCCCCAGAGTCCAATGTTAATCCCTCTGAGTGACGGAATGAGACGTGACTCACTTTGCTTTGGGTTTTCACTGCTGCTCCTGCTCTTCACCCTCACCTGTCAGCAGTTAGGGCAACAGATGTGGACAACGACTCAAAACTCAGGACAAAACTCAGCAAGAAGGGGGAGTTAACAGTGCCAGAGTGCCAACGAGGTGCCAGGCTCTGCTTTAACTCTCTAAATACCCAGTGCCCGTTTCTGGGCGAGGAAACCAAAGAGTGAAAGAGGTGGCTCTCTCCGAAGTCACACAGAGGCTGAGTTGTGGCTCCAACTGGAGTCAGTCTCCTCACAGCCCGGGACATGCTGCTGGTTTACAGGTGGTGAGACTCAGGCAGGGAGAAATCAAGTGACTCGCCTGAGGCTACACTGCTGGTGAGGCGCAAAACCAAGTCTTTTTTTAAAAAATATTTTTACTGTTTTCAGAGAGGAGGGGAGACTGAGAGAGAGAGAGAGAAACATCAATGATGAGAGAGAATCACCGGTCGGCTGCCTCTTGCACGCCCCCTACGGGGGATCAAGCCCACAACCTAGGCATGTGCCCTGACCAGGAATCGAAGCCAGGACCCTTCAGTCCGCAGCCGACGCTCTACCCACTGAGCAACACCGGCCAGGGCCAAAACCAAGTCTTAACAGAGTCCTGAACCCTAACCCAAACACCCATGCCTTTTTTGGAATGTGGGGGCTCTATTTATTCCTGAGAGAGGCAATACTTATGCAATTTGCTGACTACTTAGTTGACAAGCAGGGAATTTTCTGACACACAAGATTGGTTAGGGGGTCTCTGAGGTGAGGCTTTAGGATGGGAGATCCCAGTGTGTGGAGGTTGGGTTCCAGAGGAAAACACACCCTCACCCCCAAGCATGTTTAAAAGGTCCCATCTCAAGCCCAAGATGAGTTACCTCACCTCCATCCAACTCTGTGCTCAGCCCAGGCCCTGGGGTACAGCCCTGCCCAGGACAGCGTTCCAGGTGACAAAGGAGGGTAAGGGCCCGCTCAGCGCACTGGCCCCCCAGGGGCTCTGGGACCTCCTGGGGTGGCAAAATGGGCTGACTTTAGGAGACGTGTTATTTTGCTCCTAAACGCTCACCTTTTGGGTCCATTCCTTGAATCCTCCTGTTAGGTCTTTTCCCTGCTGAGTATACCTGGTCTCCTCCCTCCATCTAGCACCCCATCCAGTTTATATCCTCTTCCCCCCCCCCTCCCCCCCCGCCCAAAGGCTCCCCAGCATAGGCCTTACCAGAGCATTGGGTCCCCATGTCCCCCCATCTGACAGGCTCTGCTATTTGCCCCCCCTGCCCTGCTCTCCTCTGGCTGCTAAAGGCAAGATGTTAGAATCTGAAAATTCAGGAAAGAGAGAGGGGTTCTGGTCCCAGTTCCCCATTCCCACCCTTGTCCAGGAGTGTCTGGCCTGCAGGGGGGTTTCCCCGCAGAGGAGGATACAATGATACAAACCAGTCTCCACCCTGTGGGTTCAAGGTGGGTCCTTGAGGTTGAAACTGGCAAGAAAAAAGAGAGACTGAGGTGGCTTTGATCTCAGATTTAAGTAAACCCCAGCACCGCGCCGTGTGAGGGAATCAGGTAGGGCATTCCTCACACCCAGTACACAACCACGGTTATGCTTTGGGACCCAATTTATAGGCCATTTTTAACCCCAAGAGCTCTCCTCCCCTTCCTCCTGCAAGCCCCAAGAATTTACTTTTCTTCCTCTCCTCTGTGCCAACTCCTTCATCCTTGGGGTTGCAGCAGTCATCCTCAGTGGCCGACCATCCACCAGCCCCCTCCCCTACTTCCATGCCCAAATCTGAAATGCCAAAACCATCCCAAAGCTTCCTTTGCATGTAGAAGGGGCCAGTGGAACCAGGTCTGGCCAGTGATCTTAAGGAAAAGTCTTCTGGGGAGGTTATGAGAAAGATTTCCTGCTTTGGTAAGAAGCGGACATTGGCAGACTGCGTCCCCTGCCCTTCCTTCTTACTGTAGCTACTGTCACTGGAGGAGCCATGCTTACTGCCGCCGAGCACCTTTCTTGAGGGGAGCGAAAAGAACTGCAGAGTAACTGCATAGCTGAGCAGCAGAATGAACCAAAGCAAGACCCTCTGACATCCAGATCTTTTGTTATGTGAGATAATAAGCCTCTATTTATAACTTTAAATTGGTTATTCTGTGTTTTTGCAACCAGAAGTATCCTCACTGCTACAAAGTGCTCCTTCCCAGCTGCCATCCTTGTAGCAGCCCAGACATCAGGCATCATCCAGAAATCCCAACTGCTCTCCGGTCCAGAAGCCCACTTGGGCTGCACTCCTGCCTCCTGTTATATCACTAACGGAAGAAGAGACAGCAAACACATGGAAACCTGAGCCTTGAATCGGATCATCAGACCCCAAAGGGAGGTCTGGAGCGATAAGGTCGGAAAAAACGGGGCCCAGATTATCCAGTTTGGCTTTTTCCACTGATGCAGCTTGGCGTCATGTTCCTACTATCTTCTAAAGAATATAAATATATGTCTACTATCTCCTACATGTGACCTCTTCCTTCTGTAACTTCCTGCTCAATAGGTCACCGCTTCTGATCTTATCAATTCCAAACCCCTCCTGCCCTTGCCCTCAAGGCCTTCCGCACACAGTCCACGCCAGCTCACTCTGCTCTGGCCTGACAGGTCTCACAGTCCCACCCCACACCCTCCTTCAGGCTGTGCCCCTAGGAGATGCCTCCCTCCTCCTTTCGCCCACCCAGGACCTCCACCTTCGAAAGCTCAGATCAAGCCCCACTCGTTCTGCAAGGCCTCCCTCACCACAGCAACCCCCGCTTGACCTCTTCCACCACAGCTTGAGATTTCACTTCCTCCCACACTATTCAGTCTGTAATTACAGTCATCATCGTTGACCTGCCATGAATATTCATTGCCTGTCATAACAACCAGGACTCTACTCCCTGAATCATGGCCCCAAGGACAGAGGACATAAAGACCACCTGCTTGCAGATTCTCAAGCACGTGGGAGCAAGTCTCTGCCTGTTTCAATTCTGACTCAAAGGACAGGTTCACAACAATTTTATTTGTGAACGGCATGTTCTCCAGAACGTTCCCAATGCAGAGCCAATCTGCCACCATCCAAAGAAGCACATCCCATAAATAATGACTAATGTGTTTGACAAACCAGGGGTAGCTTCTGGTATGTGCTGTTCACAGGTATTAGAGCAGCGATTTTCAACTGGTGTGCCGCAAGAATTTTTGAAATGTGCAATACCTGACTCTTTAGTCAGGGGCACTGACCTCTTTTCCCTTAGATTGTCAAATAAAAAAATGACAACAGCTAACATAACAATAGCCATCTGGTATGAATGAATCAAAATGATACCTATTTTTTCGGTCAGATCAGCAAAAAATATAATACATTTTTGGTGTGCTGCAGACTTTTAGCAATTAGTTTATGTGTGCCATGAGATGAAAAAGGTTGAAAATCCTGTGTTAGAGAATCATCCATCCATAATACCACAAACACCATCCCCAGCCATTTCAAACTTTTCCAGCACCTACTTCCAAAACATTTTAAGTCTTTGTGTATTTTTCTCAACCAGAATCTATACATTAAAATTTCTAAATTGCATTTGTTAACTACAGGTCAACACGGGTCTTCATGTCTGTTGCCACTGCCACCCTGTGCAGATTCCATCCATGGAAGTCCAAAGCCCTCCCCAAGACGCCTACAGATTTTGGGAGACTTAACATTCTCTTGCTCATCTCTGCCTCTGGAGGCTGTTTTCGTGCATGAAATATATCTGTCCTATACCAGGAGTTACATGCAGAATTCAGTATTTCCCTCCATTTCATCCAAAACAAAACACAAGTGAAAAACATGCAATGTACATGATGCTGCTAAATATTTGGAAGGGAGAGTCTCAGGGAAGACTCTCATCAGTCAAGAAAGAAAGCCAGCGGACTCTCCTGAGATCAGAGAAAAGACAGAACGCACTAGAAGAGTATGCTCTTCGTCAAAACCAGGTGTTACTAGGAGGAGGGCGAGGATGGAGGAAAAGTCAACTTCCCCCACTCAGAATCTAGTCAAACAGAAGCTAAAAATGTCTGGTGGGCAGCCCAGAAAACGATACAACTCCCCCCTCCCAATCCCAGATGTGTAGCAGAATGGATGGGAACCTTGCTAGCTCCCCTCACCTTTAGGTCCACTAGCTCCCTCCAAACCATTCTCCACCCTCCTCTGAGAGCCTCCTAAATCTGAACCAGCGTCCCCCCTTATTCCCTCCCTCCTCCACCGGCCCTCCCTCCTAGGAGAGGAATGCTGCTGCCCCCTCCTGGCCTATCTTGGCAATGGCCCTGGGCTGCTTTGCAGCCAGCTCCTTTGGTCCTGCCTGCTTTTCCAGGGGAAGGGCAAGGGGGGGAGGATCCATGTTGGGCTCACTCTGGCCCACCCAGAGAGAAGCCCTATCTAACCATTCGACCAACAGCTGCAGTGGGCAGGGGCTGTCTCCCTCTCAGAGCAGGACTGGCTCCTCCCCCCTTGAACGGGGAGCTTCCCTCAGGTGACTCTGTGGTTAGGGCTGGGTTCCTAAGGCCAGCAAGGGGTTAGTGGAGCAGGTTAACTGTCCATAGTAGGACAGCTCCCAGCTGGGAGGACAGGCTGCTCCCAGGGACAGTCTGGGGTCACATCTGCTCTGAACTTTGCTGAGACAAAGAGGATCCACTCCCAAGGTGTGCTGAATTTCCCCAGAGATTAATCCCATGATTAAAGTGCGGAGCAGGTACGCTTCCTTCTAATTGCCGTGTGGCTTCCCCGCCCATCCTCCCATGAGAGCAGGCACTGACCTCACCTCTCCCCAGGATGCAGTGTCTTTGTCACTCCAATAACCTGTGCTTCATCCCAACCCCATTTCATCACCTCCTCATATATCCTCTGGGCTCCTCAGGCAACATCATGGACCAGCCACACAGGCCATGGTAGGCACAGATACCAGGGATTTCTGAGGGTCCTCAGCCTGAGCCAACACCCCAAATCCAGCTCAGAGGATCCAAAAACTTCAAAAGAGTTTGGGTGGTTAGGTTCTGAGAGGCCAGTAGGGAAGGGTCCAAGTCTCCTGCACACCCCACACTGGGGATCCAGTGCAAAACCTGGGCATGTACCCTGACCAGGAATCGAACCGTGACCTCCTGGTTCGTAGGTCAATGCTCAACCACTGAGCCACACTGGCCAGGCGTGAATTGTTCCTTTATAGATAACATTTTTCTCCTTATGCCTCAATACTTTTGCAAGAGCATGTCTAGGCATACCTTTGTTTTTCTGAATTTTGCCTGGATTGCAGTAAGCCCCTTTTCTACACATTCTTGTATCTTTTTCAGCTCAGGAGTGTTTCCTTTCTTTGTGTTGCAAATAATCACTTCTGCTCTGTTTATTCTGGCCTCTTCCACAAGAACACCACAACCAGAGCTGGATGGTGCTAAAATTAAGAGTCCAGTTGTGGGCCCTGGCCAGTGTTACTAATGGTTAGAGCATCGGCCTGCGCACTGAAGGGTTATGGGTTTGATCCCTGGTCGAGGGCATTTTCCTGGGTTGTAGGTTTGATCCCAGGCCCCAGCCAGGATGTATGCAGGAAGTAACCAATGAATGGGTCTCTCTCACATCAATGTTTCTTTCTCCCCCCTCCCACCCCATTTCTCTCTCTCTAAAATCAATCAATAAATGTATTTATTTTTTAAAGTTAGGAGGCTCAAATCTGAGCCCGCAGGCAGGAGGAGGGCCTGGTAATGCTGACCATGGTCTTCCCGAGGAGCAGGGCAAAGGGCCTTCCCTACCCTTCCGCCCCTTCCCCAGCGTCTCTTAGGCTCTTCTGTGTGTGTGTCCCTGCTCACCCCCAGGACTAGCTTCCTAAGTAAGCCTCAAGATGCCAGGAGGACGGAGGTGCTATCTCCAGGCATGCCATCACAGCCTCCTGGCCAGCCACTGCCAACCTGGGGCATCCTAGACTCTCTACCCCTCTACCCCATCTCCCTCACACCCATTGAATCCTGTATGTCCATCTTTGCACACGTGTCTGCCCTCTTCCTGACGCCGCACTGCAGTCCAGGTCATCTCTTCACTACCCTCCCACCCCCCTACCCCCACCAGCTTCCGGGTGGGCGGCCTGCCCCACTCCAGTCCCCCTGGCCAAGCTCCAGATCTCTCTGGAGTCCAGGCTTTCACCAAGTCACCACCCTAATCAAAATCTTCATACCCGCCCCACACTCACAGCTCAGAGACAGGGCTTTCAAACATTGCTTAGAACCATTTCTTAAAGTGAAGCCTTACGGGGGAGCTGATATATGAAAAACGTGAAGCTCTGGCTGAAATGGGGTACGGGGCCAGGAGACTCCCCCACTGAGCCGGCACCCCCACTATGGGAAACGCTCTAAGCCACCTGTGGGGCTTCACTAGAGCTTTTGTAGTTTGTAGATCTGTTATATTGTAAACCAGGAGACGCCTTAATCAATAAGCCAAATTTATTCGGAGTCCTTTTCATTGCGCTAGCGCTAGCGGGCCCAGAGGAAATCTTGCTTCTCAAATTCTGGGGCCCAATATGGTGGAAGTCTTTCCTATTTATATGTTTTTCAGCTCTTTGTTTTCCAAATTTGGAACGAGACTTCCAGGCCTTCTGAGAAAAAGTCCTACGTGCTGGGACAGGGCCGTGAGACCGTATCTCAAGGCCTGGCCTGGCGCCAGCACTGACAGCTCTGTCTGGGGCAGTGTTTATGGCCCCTCTGGAATGGGGAGTATCATATTTTCCCTGTTATTTAAGCAAACAAACATTTACAGAAGCCAGAATAGCAGGGTTAGATTTTAAACAGCAGTTTTTACCCAAGATGGAGATTACTATGCTTCAGATCCTATCAAACTGGCTAAAAGTTTTTCAAGTGACACTGCCTAAGGCTGTCCATGCCGGGAAAGGCTGCTCTCCCTTCCTGCTAATAGGAAGTGTGAATTGCTAATGCCTTGGTGGAAAGTAATATAGCAATAGCTACTTAAATTAAATATGTATATGTCCTTCAACCAAGCAGTTTCACTCCTGGGATTCTGTACTAATGAAATAAAAGCATCAGTCCTTAAGAATGTGTATACTAGGTGTATCGGTTAATAATGCGGATTTTTTTCACTAGATGGAGTTACACATATGTTGATTGATTATATATATATATGATTTGATATGTATGCAATTTTGTTGTGTTGACAACAGCTTCAAAACTTCAGATGTCAAATTTTCTGAAGGTGTTAATATCATAGATATTTTTACGCTTAAAAATGTCGAATTTCATGCCAAAAAAGGAGCATTTGCGGGAAGTTTTAATTCATTACTTTATTTTGAAGAAAAGTGCTATCGATGGACATTACTTTGAATAAAGCATTTTTTATGTTTCTCTTGAAATTATCGTGTTTTCTTTGGATTACAAAATCCAAATTATTAACCGATTAACAGTTAATCCTCATTTTTAACCGGTTAGTAGTTAATCCACACTATTAACCAGTTAATAATTAATCTGCATTATTAGGGTTAATAATTCAGATTTTGTAATCAAAGAAAACACGATAATTTCAAGGGAAACATCAAAAGTGCTTTATTCAAAGTAATGTCCATCGCTAGCCACACATTTCCCCCATCTGTCAGGTAATTTGTGGATACCGTCCCAATAGAACTTTTCTTGTTTTAGGCAGACCATTCAGAGACCCAATTTTCCACTTCTTCATACGTTTTGAAGTGCTGCTCAGAAAGTGTGTGTGCCATCGATCGGAACAAGTGGTCATCTGAAGGAGCAATACAACAAAATAGCATACATATCAAATCGCATATAGATCAACATATGTGTAACTCCATCTATTGAAAAAATCTGCATTATTAACCTGTGCTTCCTCTCACACATCCACACCCCCTACAAAATGCCCTTAAATATAACCTCAAAGCCAACAAAAGATTTGCTATTTGTTCGGGGGGTTGATTTATTGTTTAAATTCATGCTCCTGTCCCCCCTCAGTGCTGTGGACGTGCCTGGTTCTTGGTTCAGCAGGGGGGCTGTGCACACTTGTTGAATCTCTTCAACCTCTTGGCTGGCTCACCCAGCAGATCTGTGAAAATGAAGAGGTGGCGGCCTTCCCTGAGCCCTCCCCTCAGCCGCGGGTCCTTGCCCACAGAAACAACCCCTCCTCCCTCTTTGTACGAAGGTCTTCTTGGCTCTGCAAGCAAGATGGGGTGGGACA